ATATTTACAACAAAAATCAATTTATGACATTAAAAGACTAATTACCTTCACCCCAAATACTAATTAGTTTTATTAATTAAATTTACATTTTTAAAATTTGCCACTATCCTAGGTTTTGCCCATTTGCCCATTCACTCATTTAAATACAATCAAATTTAATATGCTCCCTTATTCCTTTATATATTTTAATATGTACATGTCAGAATAAGCATGTTGTTTGAATTTTTACATAAATATTGTGTTTCAATGAATGACAATGTAACATTATTTCAACCAAATTTTGACAAACTTGTTCCAAAAAGTTATTTGAATCCTTAAAAGTAGACACTTTACTTACATTTAATATGCTTTCTATGGACATGTAATATAATAATCACTTCTGTAAATTTCTTTTGATGCGGACATCTTAATGTATTTGACCCATATATATACAGTGTGTATATGTCTATCTATATATATATATTTTTTTTTTTGTTGTTGTTGTTGTTGTTGTTGAAAGACAATACTTCCTTCAGCAAAGATGCATTTAATTAATCTAAAGTGACAATAAAGACATTTATAATGTTACAAAATATTTATATTATAATTAAATGCCGTTTATGCACATTAGAGCTTAATATTCATCAAAGAATCATGAAAAAATCTATTATGGTTTCATCAAAAATATTAAGCAGCAAAACTGTTTTCAACATTGATAATAAAAATGTTTCTTGAGCAGCAAATCAGCATATTATATTGATTTCTGAAGGATCATGTAACACTGAAGACTGGCGTAATGATGCTGAAAATTCCGCTTTGTATCACAGGAATAAATTACATTTGACAATTTATTCAAATAGAAAACAGTTCTTTTAAATTGTAATAATATTTCACAATATTACCGTTTTTACTGTATTTTAATCAAATAAATGCAGCCTTTGTCAGCATAAGACACTTCTTTCAAAAACATTAAAAAATCTTATGATGATTATTTAATGCTCATTTAAATGGAAAATGAATGCTTCATATTTCCTTTTGGTTTCTTTCTGTAGTTCCACTTCCAAGATGTGAAGTTCATGCAGCATCAGGCAAAGACTGTGACTGTTTATAATGATGGACAGGTGCCGTGTCAATTTGAGTTAATTCCAAAGCTGGACGAGCCCTCCTACTGCAAGCCCTGGTTAGCAGCAAACCCAGCTAAAGGCTTCTTGGCTCAGGGTGAGTGGGATTCTCTACTACACTTACATTAGCCACAGTGTTGGTGTTTATTTGACGTAGATGAAGTGAAATCTAGTGAACAATTCTAAAACAACCAGCTGTTAGGGTTTTATTGAGATGTGACTGGCTGTTATATACCCTCTTGCTCATATGGCATCAGTTGTATCACGTAACACTGTGTCCTAACCAGGTGTGACACAGCAGGTTGCAATAACGGCAGTCATCGTTCAGTTCTCACTGACAGCAAAATGCTGCTTTAAGCAAACAAGCCATAGCCATTCACTTGATGTGTATTGATGTGTATTACAAGCAGGCCAACAGAGCCCCCTAAATAAATAAAAGGCCTTACCGGAGGGGCATTAGGACCCGGGGGAGGATGCCGCTGTTGACTGCTGCTGTCATTCTGTATGTGCATTCTCAAATTAAATGCGGCGAAACAGTGAATCTAATCATCATTCAGGCAAAAGTTTTCTTCGAGAATTAGCACACTGCTGACGTGACGTGACGCATCATTTTTTCAAATCCCATTATCGGCCGATTCCGATAATGTTCCGATAATATCATGCATCCCTACACATCGCACCCCCTTAATACAAAAGCGTTTAGTCATTCTTGAGTCCAAATCTCCCTTTGAATGTTTTCCGTCCGTAGCAGCGATCAGTCGTTATTGGTACAGATCAGTGATCAGTTTTATTCAGTCTCACTTTATCGTCATTGTGGTCTTTGTGTAGGTGCCAGTGTGGACATCGACCTGGAGGTGTTTGTGAACCGCTCTACAGCCCCAGAGCTGAACTCAGGCCAGCAGCAGCTGGAGGACATCCTGGTTCTGCATCTGGACAGAGGGAAAGACTACTTCATCTCCGTCACGGGCAACTACCTGCCCAGCTGCTTCGGCTCTTCTCTCAGTACCCTGTGCCTGCTGAGAGAACCCATCCAGGACATGCCCCTGGAGACCATCAGAGAGCTGGTGAGATCCTGCCATTAGTAGCTTAGTCGTATTGCTGTTTGTGACAGATCCACAGGCTGTTATATTTTTTAACCAAGTGTTTTAAAACCTAGCGAGCTGCCCTGCTGTCTAAATAGACAGCTACTTTCTCAGGCAGCATCTTAACACAAAAGGATCCTCATAAGTGACTGCACTTCTTAAATGAAGTGCACGAGAGACTCATCTTACGATTGATTGCAATATATTTTGATTTCAGCAAATATGACAGAATTTTTCATTTGATTTTTATTGATATTTAGTAGTCCAGTACCGGGGTCAAGTAAGATTTTTATGTTTTTAAGTCCCTTCTGTTCAACAAGGTTGCATTTATTTGATCAAAAAATACAATAAAACAACAGTGATGTTGTGAAATATTTTTACAATTTAAAATAGCAGTTTTCTATGTGACTATACGTTAAAATTAAATGTATTCCTGTGATCAAAGCTGAATTTTCAGCATCATTCCTCCAGTCTTCAGAGTAACATGATCTTCAGAAATCATTCTAATATGCTGATTTGGTGCTCAAGAAACATTTCAGATTTTTTTGAAAACAGTGATACATTTTTTCCAGAATTCTTTGATGAATAGAAAGTTCAAAAGATCAGCATTGATTTGAAATATAAATCTTTTGTAACATTATCAATTTCTTTACTGTCACTTTTGATCAATTTAATTCATCTTTACTGAATAAAAGTATGAACTTCTTTGAAGAAAAAATAAAATCCTACTGACCCCAGACTGTTGGTACGGTAGTGTACAAAAAGCCAACATTTCTCACTACTCATGATCTTGGTGAGCGAATTGTTTTTTGCAATTGCAGTTGCTGCCATGCATTATGGGTTGTCTTCTCTGTGAAGGATACTCACATTTAATAAATATCCTACATATCATAAACTTGGTTACAAGCTGTAATCATTTGGGAATGATTAACCTGCCTCATACTTTTCGTTTGTTATGAAGTCAAATAGCCAGGTGAGTAACCCAGAGACTGATAAACCTCAAGAAATCCCCAAGGAAATATGGATGATGGTGGACCATCTCTTCCGTAATGCTAAAAAACAGGTCAGGACATCAGGATTGCCCTTTTCTCACGTATTATTGTGTTTTAACCTCGCTTAAACTTTTCTCTTCATATGGGTCATATGACGTTGCTAAAAAGAACATTATTTTGTTTATTTGG